CGCAGGTGACGACCCTCCCGCTTTAAATATAGCGGATGGTTCAGTTGTGCTTGCTACCTCAACGCCATGCCAAGCAAAAGATTGGCGTCCTTACATACGTACAATAATGCGGTTGGTTGTTGGTCTTACTGCCTCTGCAGTATTACTGGAGGTTCACATCGGGGATTCACATGTCTGGATGTTACATGGAGGTCCGAAATGGAAACATTTAAATTTACTTAATATTTTCATTTCCCCACACAGCAGCTAAGATACGAAAATGATCTCCCACATCTTGATAGTTGCAGGGTGCCTAGCTGTGGTCAGTGCCCAAGGTGAGTCATGGGATACATGCATAGACACACTGTATGTTTGAGATAATGCAGCTGTTATTTTAGCTAACTTGTGAGCTATACTCTCGCAAAATCATGAATACTATCGAATAATTTGTATTAATATCAGCACTTTATACTCCTACTGTATTGGTTTTATCAAATAATGACCCACGCTTAATTCAAATCACGTGAATTATATTGAATTACTGTAACATAATATTATTTTAAATACATGTACATGCAAATTTTAATTTCTGGTACGTACTATTAATTCAAAGCTCATGCGCATTTAATTACAGATATGTGCTATTATTTCAAAGAACATGCAAATTGATAGATAAAGCTGTGCCCTTTTTGTATATTTTATATAGCATTGTTAGTTCACTCTGAGTTTACTGAGGACACAGCCTAAAGGGCGGCAGTCGTCGCGCCGCGTCCTGTTCGATATGGGACTCATAGCGACGTATACAACGCGTATAAAATACATTGTTTATTTACATGAAATTCGAACACGCGCTGCGCGACGACCACCGCGCTTTAAATCACAGTTGGTTGAATTGTTGCTTCTTTTCTCAGATTTATGGGTTGATAAAGTAGAAATTACGAGTCCAGACAGTGTGACCTACTCAACAGAGGCCCCGACGAATATAACATTCTCGATATGGATTGGCAACAAAGATCCCGAGGTTCATGGTGAACTAACCGGCATCCAAGTGTACTTCACAAACGGATCCAACTACGAGGATGCATCGGTGAAGTCGGAAGCAATTGAGGTCGCAATAATCGAGTCTCCCCGATCAGTGGAAGCTGGGGAGGACGAGAGCGTGGAATATGGCGGCAATACAGCCTCAATCGTGGTCGACGCAGCCCAGTGTGAACAGTATACCAATGTCTGTTTCTTGATTCAACATCCAGGATCTACCGGTGAATCAACAGATTTAGCAGAGGACGACGACGCGTGTCTGGCTCTCGGTGACAATCAGCCAGGTGGTGTTCTTACCTGCCCCGAACCTGGTAAGTTCAGTAAAGTGATCGGCATGTGATCGTATATATGCAGTAATTGGTGCGAATTATTAGATGTTGCAGTAACAAATAAAATCTTAAATCCCATGAAAAAATATTATTCTTTTGTACTTTCACCACTACATACTCGTTCGTTTATTTAAAGTGGGAATCGTCACCTGCGCATGCTTCAGATGGCCATAGCGTGTCATTGTTTACAAACAAGTGTCTACCCACGAGTCTTTGCGTTTTTTTGCTTTAAATTTGTAAATATATATAAATTTCAATTGAAATTGAAACGAGAGGTTTCTCTTGGCCGATGGAATAACATTGGAACATTATATTTTAATTGTTATTGAATTTCATGTGAATTGGATCCATTCATGCGATTGGCTCACCAAGTTATAGCTAAAGGTGTGACGTCATTGCGCACTGTGCTCGCTAATTGACTTGTTAGATTTATTTAATTTATATAACACGAATAAGCATAGAACGGGTTTGTGGTCTTGATAGTATATTTCGTCAAATATATCTAATTGATAATTTTCTAAAAACTGCACACCAGATTCTCTCTATAATTCGTGCAGTTTTTCATACAAAAAAACAAACAATCAGCGGCGCTTTTCAAACCACTAACACCACCCTATGTACATGTTTACTTACCATTTATCATGTTTATTTCCTCGCCAGATATAGAAACATCGGATGACGACAAGGACAATCATGGTTAGTATTGAATATCGAGTATAACATGTTAGGGGCGGTTATTAGTTTATGCGCCCTCGACGAATAACTTCAACAGAAAAAAAGTAGCTCGTAATCAAGGGCAATGTAACCAACGCCAAATCGATCTGGTTACTGAATAGGTTCCAAAACACAAATTAAACTACTTTAGACGACAGTGTAACGGAACAGATATCAAAGATGAGATGTATTTTAATTTGCCGAAACTATTTGTAAGCATGTTGCCCATAACAAACTCCCACACAATGGTTGGAAACAAAAAACGCAGATTGATCATTCTTTCTAACTTCAGAATTCGCGGATAAAGAATTACTAGTGTATAATCGACAATTGCACAGATCCACAGGTGATTGTCACTGGGGGGGGTTGGTACTGATGCAACTTCGCGTTCCAGAAAGAAAAACGAAGCTCCTTGGTTAATACGAACCACGTAGTTCGATTCTACTCGTCGACGGGTGCTGATAGGCAGATCAACCAAATGAACTGAGACAAACATAGTCACCATCTGTGTATTCGCCCTCCGATGGGGGTGGGGTGGGGGTGGTGAATATCACCCTAACATATCCTGATATATAGAAAGTAATGATGAAGTCACGTGATTACAAACACATGCAATAATATTTTACACTTTTTTCCCCCACGTTCTAGCAGCAAGTCACTCTGGTGTAAATGCATTGCTATGCTTGGTATCCATGTCGGTATTCGTATTTGCGTATATGAAGTGAGTT